AATCGATTTTAATCGATTAAATCGATTAGTTGTTGCAGCCCTACTGGCCACACAAAAACCCTCCCCTGATTTGTTCCAAATCCCGTGACTGGAAAACTCCAGAGGAACCCTCAGATGTGCCCGCTGGCCATGGGCCAAGCCGAAAGCGGGCCATCGGCTGCAGCAAGGGCGACGGTGAGTGGTATGAGAATCTGTCACCAGTCGAGATGGTCCACCTTCCAGTCACTTTGGGCGGCGCTCAGAAAGAGAGCTGCCCGGTATTATTACGCTATATAGTGGTGCTGGCTGCAAAACTGAGCAAAAGTCAAAGAAAGTGAAGTTTCAATGATCTTTACATAGGTGTAAAACTACGGTACTATGTCTAAGTGTGTCAGCTTAACCATTTTAAAACAAAACCTCTCATATAATCACTCCAGTACTTTCAGCATCCAATTCACCAATGGACATGCAATGCACCACAACCCTAACTTGTTTGGATAATCAATACCTCATCGAGAAATTTAATTAACTAATTAATTAATTGATTGATTGATTGATTGATTGAGCTGGTGGTGAAACAATTGCATGGAATGGCTGAGGTACCGCTGAGGAGAGGTTTGGGAACTGAAGCGGTGTTGATCTAGCTATCCAACAAGATATCAGTTACTTTTTGGAGAACAGAAGAAATTCTTGCTATTTTTTATTGTTATTGTTAATTTACATATTCTCTATTTTTAAATAAGTAGCTTGAGACATTTTCTTTGACTGCCTAAGACTTTTGCAGAGAACTGTACGTCACACAAGCTGTACACTGGGGTAACAGGAGTGGATTAAAAAAGAGGATGAATGGAAAATTGTAGCCACTTCATATTTAATCTTAGATGTTATGGAAAGATAAAACATCCATTTCAATGTCTAGTTTGCTATACCGTGGGACCTAGAGCCACGCGATGTGGGTCAAAGGTCAGAGTACCGCAATCTGCTGGTGGGCGTGGCCTCCTGCCAACCGTATAGCGCCTCACAAAGCACAGCTACTCCCTGCGAAGATAGCCTCACCCACTCAGGGCTCTTGCTCATTACTGACCTCTTAAACATCTGCCTGACTGAGCTGAATAACACTTTAAATGACATTAAAATGACGAAATGTGTTTTTGCGCGTACTTACATAATTACAAAATGGACTCTTTGGAAATATATTTATATTTGAAATTATTTCTTACAGTAATCTGTGCTACATTGGCATCCATCCATCCACCAATCCATCCATCCATTTATCCACTACAGGCTCAGGAGGAGCTGGCAGTACATCTCTGGTGTCATACGACATGCTGTAGGGTCACCCTGTGTGGGATGTGATTATCCTAATGCTAAATGAATGAAGTAAAATATAAATACCTGATTAAATCTGAAATAATTATAGCAAATATAAAGCTGCACAAACTCTAAATGCAGCATCCCAGCCCTATGCTCAGAGGCGCAAAGCACCCCCCATCTGCCATTAACGCACCTTTTACGCCCCACAAAAACCATTACCCACCCTAAGAAGGTTAAGGCAGAGAAACGGAGCCCCCTAATTAAGTTACGGTTATGAAAGCAGAGCTCCAAATGCAGCACCTGCCCCCTCCAGCTCAGGAGGGCCTGTTCAGTCCTCACCCGCCTCAGCGTCAGGCCACGCCCCTTCCATTACACCCTCCCCAGGGACTCATACATTATACCAGTGTTTTTCAACCTGGTCCTCGGGGACCTCCAGACGGTCCGCATTTTTGCTCCCTCCCAGTCCCTCCCTGCTATAAATGTGGACTGTCTGATTGACCTGGACCCCAAAGACGCGGCCTGGGGACAACGGGTGTGGAATATGGGATTAATAACGGAGCCTTAATTATTGATGCTGCACTGGTGTGGGAGCCCCTTTTGCACTTGGAGAAACCGGACACACTGAGGCGGGAACTGCTGGGAAGGGCACAGAGGGGTGGGGGCGGCAGTTAAATCCCCTCAGCTCATTTTAACATGCGTTTAATAGCACATTACGTGTAGCCATTTTCATCCGTTACAGACAAGTCTCAGAAACGGCTGCCACCTTCCCAGCTGTGACAAACACCCTGCAGGCAGGCCGGACAGCCCAGCTAATGAGACACAACCTACCGAACTCACTTCCTGGACTGTGAAATTCAAAAACGTACCTCAGGCATTTAGCCAGTTAATCCCACGTGTCACTGCAGGGCAGGCGGGGATCTGGGGTACCAGGTAACCAGTGTCCACGGGCCCATCACCCTCTAAGTATGCGACTGGCGTCCCTTCAGCAGCTGCACAACTGAGCGCTGCGCCGTTTCTCCTCCAATAAAGGACTCATCTGCAGAGGCGGACACACCTGCCCTCACACAGCCCGTTCCTCCCCATTACCCAACACCAATGCCCCCCTCTAGGAGGCCTCAGCTACAGCTACTCTCCCCCCGCGGGTTTATGTGATTCAGATGGGCAGTGACCTTCAGTGCAGCTCAGTGCATGCTAGGCCTCCGCATTTCTGATTTACGACATCATTTCCTCTGCGCTTCACGCTCAACAGACTCAATAAGCCAAGATGAACAGACTCATGGGAACAGCCACAAGGCCACCGTAATGGTGTCCCGTAGGAACATGCTACATGAGGGCGGGGCTGAAACTCACCTCCACATACAGGATGGGGAAAATCCCAATCTTATCTCCCAGCATTCCCTCGGCCCAGTTGTCGTCCACTCTTCGGATCACAGTCAGGATTTCATCCTGCGGGTCCAAATCACCCAGAGATGAGAGTGAGCTTGAGGGTCAAGAGCAACTTTAAATGAGTGCAGGAACTTAAATCTTTGTTATTAACAGGGGGGTAAATACATAAAATGAGAATCGGGGTGGGGAACATGGATGAACCATCACAAAGAAACACATCATCTAGGTCAAGGAAACATCAGCATCAGGACATATAATATCAAAGAGCAGCTGAGTGGAGGGCAGGGGAGTTGACAGCTGTCACATGACTGGACCGTTTGAAGGACCGTTCCATTGGCCACCACAAAATGGCGACAAACACGTCGAGGTTCACAGTGTCATCTGTCAAAAACAGATAAATACATCATACAAGTGTGCAAGTGACGCCTTAATCACATTCAGAGAAGTGTTGAGCTCCTGTTACTGTGTGATACAGCATAATGACGCATCCATCCTCTAAGCAGATACCCAGGTCAGGGTCACAGGGGGTGGAGCTTATCCCGAGTAGCACAGGATGGAAGGCAGGGGACACCCTGGATGGGATGTCAGTCAATTAAAGGGCACCAGGCCGGGCAGCATGCTGATTTTTTGTATGGCTAAAGCATGTTTTTTCCAGCTCTAGACTACTGAATGTTTATTTTATTACAAAAATAAATATATAATCATTCAGGTCGCTAAGCCAGACTCGGTACAATGTTTTAATATCATCAAAGAGGCAACAGCAGGTGATCAACAGTAGCATCCTCATTCGAACCCTTGGGTAGTGGCTTTTAAGGGGTAGGAAAAGCATGCAGCCTCAAAGTACAGGGATACACCTGCTCCCATCACGAGGTGAATGGGAAAGTGTTTCACTTAATTTCTGGACTTAATTAACTAGCTTAATTAATTGCTTAGGCTTTCTGCCACATTGCTATGCTGGGTGGTTGATTCCTGGGTTACTGGTCCATCAGGGACGGAGCAAGTCTGGGATTGTGTAACCAGGGGAAACTTGCCCCGGAGCTCCCCCCACAGGCAGAGCAAGGCCACTGCTAATGATGCCAGGATTTTGGGAATGGGCTTGAGTGCCGGACTCGGTCACCTTTCCTCAGGCATGAATTAATGGCAGGCAGAGGACTGGCCTTCCTCAGGCAATTCATCAGGCAGCCAGGAGGCCTAGCAGGGGCCCATCAGCCCCTCCCCCCACTCATTCCTTCAGCTTCACTAATTGCGCAGCCAGTAGATGGGAAGATAAGTATCCCCCCATGGGGCTCCCATTCGGATGGGGCTGACATGGAGGAGGTTCCGTCTGAATGAGAACTCGATGCTGGGAAGCCAAGGGGCCTCAGCCACATGCAGGAGTTCTCCTGCACATCCCCAGTCCTCAAATGCTGCAGATCACAGACCGAACTAGGCATGCATCTCTGCCCCAGGGCTTGAGAGTATGGTCAGAAGTTCAAGATGCTGTTTCTGCTCTTTGGAAAGACATCTCCTGCCAAACAGGCCAGCCAACGGCTGATGCCCCCACTGGGGAATTCCACTTGGAGCACAGGAGCTTTTGGGCAATTGAGGAATCATACTCGGAGCATGGGTACTTTTAGGCAGACAGAGGAATTCCGCTCGGAGCTCAGGCACTATTTGGTATGATCGAGGAATTCCACCCGGAGAACAAGCACATTTAGGCGATCGGGGGATTCCGCTTGGAGCACAGGCATGTTTCAGAACACAGTGAAATTCTGCTAGGAGCACAGGAAAATTTGAACGATTGAGGAATCCCACTCAGAGCACAGGCACATTTGGGCGATTGAGGAATCCCACTCAGAGCACAGGCACATTTGGGCGATTGAGGGATCCCACTCAGAGCACCAGCAGTTTTGGAAGATCAAGAGGATCTAGAAGACAAAAGGTCCATCCCCAATGGGCGAGGTGGACATACCATTACCCATCAGCCTCAGGGCCAGATGGGGTTTAATTGGCACCAAGAGGAGACCCCGTCTCCACAGGATTTTTCCTACAACAGGACACTCCCCACAGGGCTGCGCTCTGCCCATTACACCTCAGCGTTGTCAGCAGTCACATAAAACACACCACCTCCCCCCCATCGTCAGTCACATGACAGCAATCCCACGTGGTCAGAAACTTCCAGATGGCTATGAATTTTCACTCATGTATTATGTACACTGTGCTACTGAGATTTTATGGGGGCTTTTTTGTTTGTTTATTGCACCATTTAAAATGTAATCATTGCAACAAATGACACAGCTTTATGAAGACTGGCAAAGGAAGGGTCTCTCAGTTGAAGGTAAGCCCCGCAGGAAAGTGGCATTATCCATTTCAGCTGGTAAGGTTTTACCCTCCAACAAACCACAGAGTGGTTATTGTGTATTTATATAAAAGTGTGAATTTTCATGTTTGGTTTCCTGGTGTTCAGCACTCAGCTGGTAGCTGGCAGTTTAACGTGGTTATAAGCCAGCATCCCCCCCACTGCCTATAGGGAAAACAGCCAATTCTTTGTTCTTAGTATGTACTGTAATTTATTTTTCCACTGGATAAGTAGGAAATCGATTAACAAAACTAACTTAATAACACTTTTTAAATGGAATTATATTCATGACTTTTCTTTATATTCTGTAAAAGTTTTAATTAGTTATAGCACAAAAAAATAAGCCTCAAGTTATTATTTTGAAGACTATTGCAATGACGAAACATCAGTGTAAATTCCGACAGGAACAGGACTGAGGCTGTTTGCTTTATTGGATGACAAAGGGCCTAAACCAGAGCTCCTCAACTGAACCCACATTACCTTGGTAAGTAAATTCATGGTAAAAATTGTGATGGGGGGCAGGGTCGATAGTGAAAGGTGGTGGACCAGGTGGGGGTTGATAATTTCTTCTTTTTTTACACCATGCTCACCAGCACCCAGCAACTGAGAATTTCTGGCCTAAATGTTACGTCTAAGAGTGTCATGCAGCGAAAGCAGGGAGAGAGGCAGGGAATGTTAGAGAAAATGACCCAAATGGAGGACGGAGCATGGAGAGACAGTGGATCCATGTGCAGCAGAGGCCAGAGTGAGCAAAGCAGCTGCTGAAACACCTCATCATCTACCCAACGTCCTCTGTCTATCTTCTCCATGTGCTGGAAAGCCTGGAGCCTATCCCAGGAGGCTCAGGGCAGGGGACAAGCTGCATGGGATGGGAACTGAATTCACAACTCCAAAGCTGCAATTACATCATACAAGGTAATTAAAAGTACAGTGGTACCTAGAACTCGATCTGAATCTGAGAAGTCGAACCATGAACGCCAACCTAAGAGAACTTGTACGCACTGGGAAATGAGTCATGCGGCACGTCTCTCAGCAGAAACAAAGGGTAACGCTTCAGTCTCAGTCTTGCATGCGCTGTGATAGCATCGTGCATGTTTACACTAGCTGAATACATATATTTAGACAGTAAAAATACATTTAGACAATGATAGACAGTAACAGTAATTATTATTATCAGGGCTGTCAAAATTAACGGGTTAACACGGATTAATCCATCATCATGATTAATCTGATTAAAAATTTTTACGCAATTAACCCATCTGCAGCGCAGAATGACTCAAAATCCATGAAATGTCTCTGTCAACCAATTTCGGGCAGTTTTGCTGCGTTCCATTTGCTCTGGGAACTTGTATTCTGAGTCGGATTCCGAGTTTTGAAGCCGGAAGTGACGGCAGGCGCGGTCCCGTTTCTCGGAGATCCGAGAAATATCTCGGAGCAGCACAGAGGATCCCGAGTTCAGAATCCAAGATGGCTGCGCCCTTTATCAACAGAAGGGAAAGTTATAGTTTTATACGGTTTAAGCACTACTTCTCATTTGTGGTTCATTAAATTAGTCGCACACACTATGCCGCCCAACTTATCTGTGGACGTGTTGCTACGGAGTTTTATACGTAAAGCACCACGTGTAATGTGTTATCAACTGATATTGCTAACAATGGCAATTAACCGGGCTAGAATTGGATTTCATGATTAGTTGGATTATTTGTCAGATTTACAGTAGTTCGGGCTAATTGTAAGTGAACGAAGATAAAGACCATTTAAACTGAGGTACCTTAAATCCGACAAGTTGTCCGGCTAACCAAAAAATCTTGCTTTTTGATATGGGTCCATGGTATTGCACTTCTGTGGCAGATGGAATGCATCCGAATCGTGTTCAAGATGTTCAATAAACATGTTAAGTGCATATATATTCCCTTTTTTCTTGAGTCCGTTTGCTTATGCAAAATGAATTGTGATTAATATAGATAAAAAATGAATATTTAATCGTGATTAATCGAAATTAATCCACAGCAACCCTGTGATTAATCTGATTAAAAATGTTAATCGTTTGACAGCACTAATTATTATACAATAAAATACATTTAAAAATAAAGATTTCTTATTAATTATTTTAATATCATTAATAATAAATATATTTAATTATAATAATATTGTTGTGCCAAGTGGGGACAGAACAGAGACAAAGGCGCAGACGTCAGGGTTTCGGAGAATATGGGGTTTAATTACAGGTAAGGCAGGCAGTCCGTAGACGGACAATACAATGACCTGACTGGGGAAACAAACTGAAACGCGGACTAAATACATAGGACTAATGACAACAACCAAAAACAGCTGATCACAAGGGGATTCCACATGAGGTTAATGAGGGGGCATGGCACACGGAAGGAGCAGACGATTGGGACAGGACACATTGTTTTTTTTTAACTTTACAAATTACTGTTTTGATAAATGTGCTTAGATGTGTTTAGTACAGTATATGCTCTTCTTGTTTTATCCTGTTAATTTTGTGCTTAAATGCTAATTATATATATATATATATATATATATATATATATTTAGGTGTAATTTTTTGGGGCCGGGAACCAATTAATTGGTTTTCCATTATTTCTTATGGGGGAAATTCGATCAGAACTCGAACTTTTTAGGATTTGAACCCGAGTTCTGAACGGATTAAGTTCGAGTTCTTAGGTACCACTGTAATTTGCAAGTGAGAAGAGCGACACACCGGTGGGGCGGATCACCTTGGTGAACGTCAGGCAGTCCTTGTCCTGGTCCTTGTCCTTGACCTCAAAGTCGTAAAGGGCCTTGCCCTGGGGGGGGTGCTGTGACAGCGGCTTGATGCACTGGATGTAGCTGGCAGGTAGGAACCCATGACTGCCATTAAGCTCGCCGTGGTACCAGTTCTCATCCACCTTACGCCGCAGGATGATGATGTCGCCCTTGTTGAACTTGAGGTCGCCAGGCTCCTTGCCTTCGTAGCTGTAGAGAGCCTTCCCACAGGGCAGCTGCGGAACATTCTGGAAAGAGAGAGAGAAAGAGAGAGTAGAAGAACCAGGCAGTCAGTGTCGTACCGCCAGGGATACAGGCAGAAAGGGTGGAGAGGCCCAGACACTGCTCTTCTGAAGATGTAGCTGCCTACATTCTGCATGTATTGACAAGTACAGAGAGCTCTATTCGATTCTGGCTCTCTGGATAGATCTCCCACCTTCCTGACATGCTGGAATCATGCTGTACATATTTCTCTACATTAAAGCCATTAAAGTCAATCCCCTACAACACAGTATATGGCCAAAAGTATGTGGACAGCCCTCATAGTTAGAGGAATTAGCCATTACACATATTGTTGTATAAGTGGGCATACAGTCACAAAATCTCCTGCATTAAACATCAGAAACAGAATGGGCTGTTGTACAGAAGATATTATAGCTTTTTCCCCATTTCTGCCCTGCTAGAGCTGCCCTGGTCAACCAAAGATGAACTTGGTAGCAAGTTCAGTTGTGAAGTCTTTGGTCACACCAACTCACAGAAAGGGACCTGATCAGCCAACTACCTCAATATCAAACCTGAATGGCAGCAAATCCCACCAACCATATTCGAACATCTCATGGAAACCCCTCCCAGAAGAGCTGAGGCTATTATAGCCACACAGAGTGGGCCACCTTCATATTACTGAATATTATTGGACAAGCTGATGTCCACCTTCTTTTAGCCATACTGCATCTTAGCCTGAGCTTAGGCAGTGGCTACGCTAACAAAAACACAGTCTCAGAAAACCACATCCTCACGACCTTACACAACTATATCCTGGATCCCTCCACATCATACACAAACAGCAGTAAACCCACATCATCTGCAATCCCTGATCTGTAAGCACAATTCCTCACAACGTTCAGTTACCCAGGAATGTGGCACTTCATAACAAAGCAATCTGACAATGACAAGAACCAGATGCAAACAGCATAGCGATACTGCAATGTCACATGACACAGTGCCTGGCAGAGGGTCCCCGTCTAGACGGTCGGGTCAGGATGACCTCCTGAGTGACCTGTTCTCCCAGAGAAGCACAGGTCTCCATCACACTGCTCAACAGCCAGGCCATTATGGAGCTTGGTGTGAAGGCAGCTCTGGCTACATCACCACCTCTGCTGATATGAAGCAAAACACCATTAAAACTGCATAACCTGGGACTTTCTCTGATATGCGTCCCGTACAGCAGATGTGTCTCACATTTCACAAGCGATACATGCCTCTAAAAACACCAGAGAGACATAATGAAGAGGCCTGAAATATTCATGCACGTGAAGTGTGGCCAATTCAATGGTAACCGTGGGTAACAGGCAGGTGTCTGTTCCATGAAACCAGCAAGCGTGAAGCACCAATGATGGTTATACCCCCACCCCCACTGGTGCGGGAGGAGAGAAAAAAAAGAAAGATACACACAGGCCACAAGCTGTTTGTAGCACATAAAAAATGAAAAGCTGACTTTTCTGAGCTCACGGAGGGTCATTACCTATTTATGGGGGGGTGGGGGGGAATGGGGGATTCAGCACAGGAGAGAGAAAGATAAAGGGGAAAAAGAAGGGGATTCGGCATAGGGAGAGAAAAAGCATTATATGGGAGTATACATCACAGGAAAAAGTGTCATAAGGGGAGAAATGACAGGTGAAAATGAAAGAGTAAAAGAGAAACAGAGTGAGTGACAGAAAAGAGAATGAGTAGAAAAGGAAGAGGAAGGGGCTGAAAGCAAGAAGGAACAACAAAAGAGACAAAAGAGAAAGGGACAGAAAGATGGAGAGAAAGACAAAAAGACAGAGAGAGAAAGGCAAGAAAGGGGCAAAAAGAAAGACAAGATAGGGACAGAAAGAAAAGGGACAGAAAGAGATTAAGACAAGAAAGGGAGAGAAAGAGAGAAGGAAAGGGAGATGCAGATGAGTGTTGAGAGTGTAGGGAAACATGGCTGTGGACAGAGGGAGCAGAGCTTGGTGTGACAGATTAACAGGCGGGGGGTGGGGAAATGGGCCCTCCTCCAGCTCATTACACATGCATCGTGGGGTGGGTATATTAGCCGCTCTGAGGGGGTGAGGGGGATTGCTGCTGGTAGGGCAAGAGGGGCAAAATCCCAAGAGCTGGGTGGGTGGGAGAGATAATGACCCTGGACACTAGGGGGAGCTCTGCAGGGAGGCAGCAATGATTCTGAATGTTACAGACGAAAGCCCCAGGAAGTACCTGGGATGGGCTCCAGGCTCCCTGTGTACACGTCCTGGTTGGACTAGAATATGGGGTAGGAAGAGAGGGCTGACGCGCCCCCACATGCCAGCCCCAGGTTACGGTAACAGACATCAAGCATTCAGATTTGCTGCTGACTTTCCCTCCCCATGACAGGGGCATGACTGGGCCCACCAGAGAATGGGATCGACCTGCCACGCCCTTAATCCCACTGCCGCAGACCAACGTCGCGTGAGCCGAGAGTGTAAACCCTGTGGTGGACATCAAACCCAAATGGGCGCCAAGACAACACACCTGGGTGTGCGTTTATCATTGCCTGACAGCCCGAAGCTCACCGCTGGATAACAAGCTGCTGCGTCAATTTAAACAAAGAAGAGCGCCCAGCCTGTGCACACACACACACGCAGGTGTGTGTAGATGTGTGCGCTTCACAGCTGCCTCAGCGCCCTTCACTTGCTCCCCCGTCCCGGGACACAGGGCTGCCAGCAACACTGACCTCTGCCCCAAGCTCCTCGCTCCAACTCTAATCTGTGTATCTGTCAGCTACAGACCACGCTGGCAAGACAGGCGATGCGGGTGGGAGCGCTAAATCACACGAGGAGGCGTGGCTTCTGTGCGGGGAGTGGAGTTTCACCCTATCACACGGATACCGCAACAAAGAAGGCTTTCCCGTCAGGTCATCCCAAGCTGACTGGAAGAGAATGCTGTGAGGTGTGAATGTACAACACGACGCTCACACAAGTGTGCAAAACAAATCGCATTACACACTGTTTTTAAAGATAATCTCAGTGGGGTAATTAAGAGGCACTGGTGCTGGGATCTGATGTGCAGATTAGAGCAGGGTAAGGAGGAAGTGATGTGAGGCGCAGAGCCGGCATGCGGGGGGTGCTGGACAGCCGAGGGAATACTAGGGATTTTTATGGTGGGAGGCATAATAGGGGCCATGAACCATACAGAAGAACCAACCTTATCATTAACCAATGATACGTTTTGAATTGGTGGGTGACAGGGAAGGGGGCACTCCGGGGGCCAATTAGCTTGCAGCTGGGGCCACTGCCTCTGTGGCCCCGCCCCTGAAAATGCCCCTGCTGGGCAGGGCAGAGCCCCAGCTGTCTCCGCACCACTGGAGCAGCCAGATACTATGGGGCCTATTGGCACTATTCAGGCTGAGGTCCCCAGGGCCCAGGGAGTGAACGTCCTCCCGACTTGGCTGAATGCATCGCATTTCAACCACTCCCGCTGACATCAGCACTCCGAGCTGCCCAATGCCTTAATGACGCATGTGAGTGCATGGACACGCTCAGTCACACACACACACACACACACAGTCACACTCACACACACGGACACACACACACATGGACACATTCACGGACACACACACACACACACACACGGACACATTCAGTCACTCACACACACACAAACGGATACGCTCACTCACACACACATGGACACATTCACGGATACCCTCACTCACACAGACACACACACACACACACACACACAGACACACACACTCCCACAAACACACACACAGACGCAGACAGCTCACACACACACACACACACACAGTCACACTCACACACACAGACACACACACACACGGACACATTCACTTACACACACTCACTCACTGACACGCACAGTGGAACACACACAATGACACAATCATTTACACACACTCACCTGGGGCAGAGAGTGCTTTGAGATGGTGGTGGGGGAGGCTTCCCTGAGGTAGGTAAAGCGTTCCTCAGCAGGGGTAATTCTAGCATTTTTTAAGGTGGGGGGTATTATAGGGGCCATAATTTACACAGAGGGGCCAACCTCATCATTAGCCAAGGATATGATTTGAGGTGTCAGGGGAGGAGACTCTCTGGGGGCCAATCAGCTTTCAGCTGGGGCCAGCGCTCTATGGCCCCGCCCCTGGATACACCCCTGGCTAGGGGAAATTGAAACGCCACATGACTCCATAAACCGTTTACATCTCGCCCTTGGCTAGGATCTGACCGCCTGCCAGACTCCCACTAGATCCCTCTAACTGCGAGCATATCTCATACAGGGAGATGCTATTCTCATGCTCTCACGCTAAAGCTGGACGGGATCATTCATGGGGGCACAGGGCAGAGCATTAAACAGCAGCAGGGGGTGAGCTTCCAGGAAAGATGGCGTCCCTCCCAAAAGTGTAAATGAGAGTGTGATGACGAGCAAAGCGGACGTGGTGATGACAAGGCATGGGGCGTGTCGGGCAGTAGGCTGGCTGCCCGGCAGGGGTTAGCTAACTAACCAATCACGGGCCTCCGACGACCATGGCAGCAACTTAACTGCTAATTGCTTACACGAAGCTCTTTCTTCACGGCTTCCCCCTGGAACATCTGCAGCATCAGCTTGGGTTTCACACGACCTCGGGGGTGGGGTGGGGGTAGCCTGGGCTGCCACAAACTCCCTTTTAGGACATACTCATCCACCATTCATCTTTAGGACAATCCCAGAAAGCCAACAGCCCACAAAAAGAAGCACAGGGCACCAGGTAGGGGACACCTTAGGCACGATGCCAGAACACCACAGGGTACTGGTCCCTGGAAGAGAAGCGTTCACACAAGATGCTTGATGTAACTGTTACCGCTTGGGATTAGAGGAAGGGGGCACATAACAGACTCTGCTAATATCACATCTCAGGATATCTGTAACCAGGGGGTGTTGCCCATTAAGGGTCACCTTGTAACGGAACCTATGCAGGGGGTACCCAGGGCTTCTGTCCCTTACGTCCCCCTGTGATCGCATACAGAGT